AATATATATAAATATATATAAATATATATAAATATATAAAAAAATATATATAAATATATATAAATATATATAAATATATATAAATGTATATAAATATATATAAATATATATAAATATATATAAATATATATAAATATATAAAAAAAAATATATAAATATATATAAATATATATAAATGTATATAAATATATATAAATATATATAAATGTATTTGTATATTTGTATATAAATATAATTTATTTGTAAATTGTTATCAAGAAATTCTGGTAGCTTAGTGGTTGGAGTATCAGCCTCGACTTCTAATGACTGGTTCAATCCTGCCAATGACATTTCTCTTAATTCGACAATAATTCAAAGTTATAAAAATATAATATGGAGAAATAATTAATAATAAATAATAAGAATATAAGGGGAGGGGTTCTATAAAAAAATAATGTTATAAATAAGTAAAATATTTAATAATTAATAAAATTATTACCGACGGATAAATCCGTCGGTAATTTCAGTAACATATTTACCGACGGATAAATCCGTCGGTAATATTTACCGACAAGCTAATTTCCGACGGATTTTTGGCCGTTGGAATTCAGTCGGTAATATTCATTTACCGACGGATTTTTATTATTACCGACGGATTTTGACCGTCGGTAATTTTAATATTTCTTGTAGTGTGGAAAAAACAAGATTAAAAGTTTTCCGCGTATTGTCGCTAACAAATCTTTAATATCATTGGAATTTAACTTCTGTTTAGATAGGAAATTTATAAAAGGTAATTTATTTTAATAAAATATTTACAATGTTTGATTATAAAATTAGTTGTTTTGATAGAAAATTTAAAACATAGACGAGAGTATTTTGATAATTTAAAATAAGAGAATTTTAAATTATCATCTTAAAAAATAAAATTTGAAATTTTTTATTTATTTTTTCTCTTTTTCAAATTTATGTTTTTTTATTTGATTTGATTTGAAATATTTTTTATTCGTTTGGATTTGTTTTAACAATATCAACTTAAATAAGCATGACCAAGGTTAAAATTAGATAGATTGAAATAAGTCAATACAAGGTCAAATTAGGAAATGGTAGATTAACATTAATCATATCATACTAAGATAAGTCAAGTTGAGATAGGTTGTATTGGGGTCAACCAATATCACATTAGATTATTGGGTTAAACCTAATCAGGAAGGATTAGATTAGGACACGTCAACTTGGGGACAAGCTGGAACAACTTGATATATGTTGGGTCAAATCAACAAGGATGGACTAGATTGAGAGTACTGAAGCCAAAATGATTTGATGATTATTAGAACATATTGAGTTGGTTCAAACTAAATCAAGATGAAATGAGCTGAAACTAAACTATGTTTATTTGGGTCAAGCTGAGTCGACCTGTGTTGAAACGAATTGAGATGAGTCGAAAACATTTTTATCGGGATTGAGTCAAAGTAAAGAAACATAACTTTTAAAAATGAAAAAAAATGGAAAATTTTAAAAATTGTATACAATTTTAATTACTTTCTAAATTTTCTATCCAACCAATTTTATATTGATAAAATATTTCAAATATTTTATTAAAATAGATTATCCTCTATAAATTCACTGTGTTAGACAAAAGCATATCCACTAAGTAATGTTAAATATTTAATAGTACGATCGTTGATATATTCTTCTTTACTTAGCCCATATTATTAACTCAACAATTATTTCTTTATATAGTTTATTATTAAAACAATGATTTATTTATATATTTTTATATTATATGCTTGTTTTATAGTTTAATTAATTCCTATAATTTCGATTTGATTTAAAGGAATCTCTTTATTATTTTGCTATCCTTTCAGATATTTTATTTTTATTTTCCGATTTTTTTAATAATCTCTTAATTATCTATTAAAAAAAAAACAAAAGTTTGTATATATTGAAATCTTCAAATTCGTTTAAATGTATATTTTATAATATATTCTCAAACATTTTATCCCTCCATTTTTTATATTATTTTGCATTATGTATTTTCTTACTAAAAGTGTTAGTTAACGTAGTTGTTGCGATATATTTTAAATTAGATCATCTTTTCACATGCAAGACATAAATATTAGTTTTGTGGGAACACTTAATGTCGTTAACATAGAACATAGTTAAATATCTCTCAGCGCAAAAGTGTATGTGCATAACGTACAGTACATTTTTGTAATGACTTCAAATGTTGCAATATATTTACATGATAACATTCAACTTCCAAGAGACATTTAAGTCGTTGTGACAGTTATTAATTTGACATAGCATTTACAACAATACAGCATCTGATCTATTACATATATGGATATTGTAAGTAATAGTTATGGTTTGAAAGGCAGGAACAAGTATTATTATGACTGAGGAAATAACCTTTAATTCTGTAGGAATAAGTAAGATGGGGTAAACGAAGGAGAGTTGATTATAGGAAACATTGAGAAAGATTTACAAATCTATGGGCATATTCACAATAGAATATCACGCCATATAGTCAGAAAAGGCCACTAATGGTTGCTGGTGGTACACGGCTGATAGAAGGAATTTCCCTTCATCACAGGAAGATATTATATGCATCTGGCTTTGCTGTGCTGAGAAAGTCTTCACATTTTATGGTTATGGTGTCATAGCCTGTCTACTAATTGAGGAGGCATATGCACGTAAATGATGTCTTCCAACTTGTTCAGTCTAAAGTTACACGACAGTCGCTTTTACGTGTAGTTGGGCATCTTAAAAGCATGACCTGATCTTTCTTTTCAAAGTGCTTTGTTCAAACAAACCACACCCTGAGCTATTTCTCCCTATAAATACTCTACCATATTAGCTGGTTTCAATCAACCCTCATACTTTTCTGTTTCCAATATCTCCTCCTCAGAGCCATTAGATGCAATTCATTTTTTATCTCATGGTTTTGGACTTGTAATAAGTCTAAGGTACTCTAAAGGAATCTCTCTCTGTAGTCTCATAATTTTGCATTTCTTTTTTCCTGTTGTACTTTTTGTCTCTGGAAAAGAATTTTCTGTGCTACCAAGATGGACAGGGTTATGAGGTTGGCCACAGAAAAGGGTGTGGTGGTTTTCACCAAGAGCTCTTGTTGCCTCTGCTATGCAGTCACCATTCTGTTCCAAGAACTTGGAGTGATCCCTGTGGTTCATGAAATTGACAAAGAGCCTGAAGGCAAGGAAATGGAGCGAGCTATAACTAGGTTGGGTTGTCCTGCACCTGTTCCAGCAGTGTTCATCGGAGGGAAGCTTGTGGGGTCCACCAATGAGGTCATGTCCCTCCACCTCAGTGGCTCACTCACTCAACTGCTGAAACCATATCGAACTTTATCTTAAAGAGGAGTGCACGTGCAAATTAACACATGTTCCTGCTATTTGGAACAATAAACATGCACTATATATGGCTCGAATGATGAGAAGAGTAGTAACTACTAAACTTAATATTGGATATGATCCATGCATGTGTCAAGTAGTTAATTTCTAGCATTTGATTAGCTATATAATATAATAAATGTAATGCTATAATTATTCTTAATGATGTTTTATTTATATAGTATTTGAAAGTTTATATATATATATATAGCCACGTCTATTATTTCCAAACTCGCATGATTTTGGTTATCTAAGAATTAAATCACAGATAATGGGATATATGAAGGTACTAGTGATCTAAAAAAGCATATCTGAAAAGTTGCAACCCTTTATGGTCTCAGAAAAATCTCCACCACTTCTCTCCTTTTTTTTTTCCTTCTACAATCTCTAACCAGTAAACATTATTATTCAATGAACTTCAAGTCATCCTCGTAACATGAAAATACCTGCAAGCACTTACCTTTGAATATAAATGTCCACCTTTTTTGGTAAAGAAAATATTCTCGAGTAAGATCTGTGCGCATCATAAATAGAAAAAAATCTTTCCATGCAAACCCACTATGGGTTTGTCTGTCCCATTCTGCTACGTGACCAATGTATCGTCGTGGTTGGTTACTATATCTTCGTTTCATCACTGAACATCTATCTTCTCACATGCAGGATTATTCATCATCGAATTCAATAATGTCTTTCATATTATTTATATGTAATAAACCTTATATATACATGATAAATAAAACACGTAATACATTTTTTTTCTATCACACACCTTGTTAGTAGTGGCTTTGAGACTTTATGGTTGTTAGGGAATTAATAGAGGATTAGTATTCTGTTATGTCTTATAACAGAATAACTGTTTGTAATGCCTTTATAAGGTTTGTAATAATTCAATGAGAGATAACTTTTACTCCCTCAATTGTCTTCTTTGTATTAATCATTCTTTGGTGGGTTCAATAGAGTTTTGCAGAATCTATTTTTATAACAGATTGGTATCAAGAGCAAGGTCGGATATTCTGGGAGGTTAAGATGAGTTCTGCGAAATTTGATATTGAGAAATTCACGGGCAAGAATGATTTCACCCTTTGGAGGATAAAGATGAGAGCTCTTCTGGTTCAACAAGGAATTGAAGAAGCGCTGCTTGGTGAAGGAAAAATGACAGCCACATTATCTGATAAGGAGAAGAAGGAAATGCTTAATAAGGCCCATAGTGCCTTGATTCTCTCTTTGGGTGACAAGGTTCTAAGAGAAGTCTCGAAGGAGAAGACGGCTGCTGCGATTTGGCTCAAATTGGAAAACCTGTACATGACCAACTCTTTGGCAAATAGGCTCTATTTGAAGCAAAAATTGTTTACATTCAAGATGCAAGCAGGAAAAGGGTTGGAAGATCATTTAGATGACTTCAATAAGATCGTTCTTGATCTAGATAATATTGAAATCAAGATTGATGATGAAGACCAAGCCTTGCTGTTACTGAGATCGTTACCTAGTGAGTTTGATACTCTTGCAGACACGCTCATTTATGGCAGAGACACGTTGTCATTGGAGGAGGTCCAATCTGCCTTATTCTCAAAGGAACTGAAGAGGAAGTCTGAGGTTGGAAGAGATCAAGATGCTGAAAGTTTGTATACAAGAGGCAGGTCAGAAAAGAAAGATTTTAGAACCAAGAAGGGTCCAAGATCAAAGTCAAAAGAGGGAAAGAAGAGAAAGTGTTTCATCTGTGGGAGTGAGGAGCACTTGAAGAAAGAGTGCCCAGAAAACAAGAAGAAAAAGAAACACGGAGATCAAAAGGGTAATTGTGGTGATGCTGATATAGTTTCAGAGGGATACGAAAGTGCTGAAGTCATGTGCATTACGGAAGAAAAGGGCAAATCGAGTGGGTTCTTGATTCAGGATGCACATTCCATATGTGTCCTAACAAGGACTGGTTCATTTCCTATGATGACAACCATGAAGGAAGGGTTTTGTTGGGCAATAACAAGGCCTGCAAGGTGATCGGAATTGGTGCCATTAAACTGAAACTTGCTCGATGGAGCCATAAGGATCTTGAAAGGGGTAAGGCATGTACCGGAACTAAAGAGGAATCGATTTCTCTTGGCATGCTTGATACACAAGGATATGTCCGCAAGGTTGAAGGTGGAGTTCGAAGATCACAAAAGGTTCTATGGTGCTGATGAAGGGAAAGTTAGATCATGGTTTGTATTTTCTTCAAGGAAGTACCCTGGTTGGAACTACGCCACCTGCAGCTTCGAGGAAGTTCAGTCTCAAGCAAGTCTTTGGCATAAAAGGCTTGGTCATATCGATGAAGGGGGATTGAAGGAGTTAACCAAGCAGAGACTGTTGGGCAAAGACAACATTGATGCATTAGAATTCTGTGAACATTGCATTTTTGGGAAGGCAAAGAGATTAAAATTTTCCACTGCTTGTTCATCATACAAAAGGTACTCTTGACTACATTCACGAGTGATTTGTGGGGGCCATCAAGTGCTCCTTCTCACAAAGGAGCAAGATATTTTCTATCCATCATTGATGATTTTTCAAGAAAGGTATGGGTTTACATTTTGAAGAACAAGAGTGAATCTTTTGAAAAATTTAAAGAATGGAAAGTGTTAGTTGAAACTCAAACCGGTAGAAAGATCAAAAGGTTTAGAACCGATAATGGCTTGGAGTTTTGTTCGGAGAATTTGATAAATATTGTAAAGGGAATGGTATTGTTAGGCATAAGACAGTTAGAGGAACCCCTCAACAAAATGGGCTTGCTGAAAGAATGAATAGGACAGTCATGGAGAGGGTTAGGTGCTTACTGTCTAATGCAAATTGTTTTGCACAATTCTGGGTTGAAGCTGTGATGACAGTAGCTTATTTGATAAATAGATGTCCATCTACTGCTATTGGCATGAAGACACCAAAGGAAATGTGGTCTGGTCATTCTCCAAACCTTGAAAACTTGAGAGTATTTGGGTGTGTGGTGTATGCTCATATCGGCCAAGGCAAGTTGGATCCAAGGGCTCTGAAATGCATGTTTCGGGATACCCTCAAGGTGTTAAAGGGTGCAGATTGTGGTGCATGGAGAAGGGGCAGCCAAGGGTATTAATTAGCGAGAGATGTTGTGTTCGAGAGAATCTGAAATGTATCACTACGAGAAGGTTTCAAGTCGAGGAACATGAGAAGGGTGATGAGAAAATTCAGCTGGAAATGGATACATTAAAGGGGCAATCTTCCGTTGACTTTCAGCAATGTTATTCAGAATTTAATCAAGAAAGTAACACGGAAGCTGAGACAAACACTAAAGTGCAGAATAATGATGATCTACAAGAGTATCAACTAGCCAGGGATAGAGAAAGAAGAGAAATCGAGACCTCCAGTTAGGTTTGGACATGCGAGATATGGTTGCTTTTGCACTCACCGCAGCAGAGGAAGTTGAAGGAGATGAGCCTAAGAGTTATAGTGATGCTTGTGAATGGTAAGCAATCTCAAGAGTGGATTGCTGCCATAAATGAAGAATTAAGCTCTTTACATAAGAATGGCACTTGGGTGCTTGGTAGACAAGCCAAAAGGGAAGAAACTTGTCGAGTTGCAAGTGGATTTTTAAGCTCGAAAGAAGGGATTCCGGGAGTGGAGAAGGCTAGATTCAAAGCAAGATTAGTGGCCAAAGGGTTTACACAAAGAGAAGGCATTGATTACAATGAGGTCTTCTCTCCGGTGGTAAAACACTCTTCAATCGAAATTGTCCTAGCCTTGGTAGCACAAGAAGACATGGAATTGGAACAACTTGATGTGAGAACAACTTTCTTACATGGAGAGCTTGAGGAGCGATTCACATGACTCAGCTCGAAGGTTTCATCAAGAAAGGTGAAGAAGATAAAGTTTGCTTGTTGAAAAGATCCCTCTATGGTCTTAAGCAATCTCCTCGGCAATGGTACAAAAGGTTTGATACATTCATTATGAAGAATGGTTTTAAAAGGTGTGAGTATGATGGTTGTGTTTACTTGAAGAACACTCGAGATTGGAGCTATCATCTACCTTCTTCTCTATGTAGATGACATGCTCATTGCTTGTAAAAGCAAGGTTGAAATTGAGAAGGTGAAGTTGATGCTTGAGAGTGAGTTCGAAATGAAGAATATGGGGGCTGCTAGTAAGATTCTGGGTATGCAAATTATGAGGGATAGATCCAAGGGAACCTTATTCATTAACCAGAAGGGCTACATAGCTAAAGTTTTGAAGAAGTTCAATATGGATCAATCTAAAGCAGTGATGACTCCTATGGCGCAACATTTCAAACTTTCTCAACAGGATTCACCCAAGACAGAGGAAGAAAAAGCCTATATGAAGAAGGTTCCATATGCAAATGCAGTAGGCAGTGTCATGTATGCTATGATTTGTACTAGGCCGGATTTGGCTTATGCCATGAGCTTGGTAAGTAGATACATGGGGAAGCCAGGAAAAGCAGACTTGGGAGGCTATGAAATGGATCTTCAGATATTTGAAAGGAACATCTAAAGTTGGTTTACTCGTATTCAAGGCATGACGACGGTGTTGTTAATGTTACTTGGTTTTGTTGATTCGATTATGCTTGGTTGTTTGGATTCCAGAAGGTCTTTGACAGGTTATGTTTTCACATTCCGTGGTAACACCTGTTAGTTGGAAGTGCAATCTGCAAAATGTAGTCTCTCTATCCACTATCGAAGCAGAATTTATTGCATTACTCGAAGCAATAAAAGAAGCAATCTGGATGAAGGGAATGACGAGCATGTTTGAAGGCGAAAGAAGCGAGTTCCCAAGGTGTTTTGTGATAGTCAAAGTGGGATACACTTGGCTAAGAATCAGGTCTACCATGAGAGAACTAAACATATTGACGTCAAACTCCATTTTGTGAGAGAGGTTGTTGCAAAAGGGGAGGTGATTCTAAAGAAGATTAGCACAAATGAAAACCCAGCCGATGCATTTACAAAGGCACTACCAGGGCC